AAACTTCAAAATCCATTGTTAAATACGTGTACTAAACCGTATATAAATGCTGATATATATGCGAACAACCTATATGATGTCCCATCGACCAAAACAGCCGTTGCCATATTTCAACAAAAACACGACAAAATAATTTCAAAGAAAATAGTATGTATAGTTGTTTCAGAATCCGATATTCTTTGCCCCGATCCAAATTGCCCAGTCAATCATTATTCCCAAATGCACTCATGATTGACATTTTCCTGCTACGTGTGATTGCAAATGTGTGATTAGAGAGTGATTAGTGAGAGATTAACACTGGCCTATCTATATTGTTTTCCGCCAGTCCGGTCTTAAAGAACTGGATCTACTTGATAAAAAATTCAGCAAGTTTTCATATGCTACTAAACTGATAAAATTACATATATTAATCCAGATATAATCAGCAACGTTTGCGATTTCAATTATGTTGAGCTCGCAATGTAAGTAAGAGTAAGTATATTGGCAAGTGCAAACATGTTTTTTACATTTTAAAACCATTGCCATGGGAACGTCACGAAATCTCCGTTTTAATACCATTTTGTAAGCAAGTTAAAAGTAAAAGTCACAGCTTTCGTCCTCAAGGCATGACAATGATGGAAACACATGTTGCCGGTTCATAATCAATTCATCGATTGCTCGAACCGTGTTTTAAATTGTTTCTCCAGGACACGACGAAAAAACACTGTCTTACTGCAGACGAGCTGCACGAACTCGCTGCAGACAATTCATGGTCAATTATATATACATCATTGGGTAACATGGTATTTAACTTTAATATTATCTGTTCCTTTTCCTGTTTGGCCACATTTAGATAAACCTTGTACAATTAATGAAGTAAACAGACTGGCATAAAAAGTAAACACTCATGTTTGATGGTGTCCAAAATGAAACAAACAAGAAATGGTCATTCGATGGTGATGTATTTGATATGAGTATTATAGTTGTGTTTTAGGCCTACAGGTGACTGTTTTGAGCCTAGTAACGTTTTGGTGGCCTTTTTTTTTGTCAAATCCAGTTTTCAAGTGTATATTTGCTTTGCCCGACAGTTTGTAACACCTCTCCATTTTGACAATTTGTTTTGGTTTTCTGTGGGAAAAAAGGTGTTGGTTTTTATTCTTTAAACAGATAGGAATTATCATTTTGTTTTAAAATTAGCCCATTGTGGAAATGTGAGAATACTATTCGTCATATTTGAAATTAGTTGAAGGCGTCGTTTAGTTTCTGATGAACTGATGACTGAACGCTAATCGCCCAGATCATATGTTTTGGTTCTGTAACAGAATCATTTTCAGCTTTTAACAAAATCATTGAAGTCTGCCTTTCTAATTTTTAAACATATTATATGACAACAAAAGGAACGAGGAGTATTTGCCGGCTGTTAATAAAATGGCTTTGATTAAAAATGGAATGTTAAGTTTTTATTTGTTTAAAGCATTTTTTATTAAAACTGTTTCGTGGACGCTTAGAGATTGTACGAAGACAATATCACCGTTATTTCTTTCATATTTGACTTGCATAACACAGTGCAGTCTCTCTAACCTACCCAGGCTTTACAGGACACACGCATCATGACTGTGTATATGACGTGTTAATGTGATATGTATTTTTGTGATAAATGTAATGAATTCTGAGAAATTAATATTCTCATATTTACAAATAATCTTATTCAAGGAAGATGAACCTTTCGCATGATATACACATCCTAATTTAGGCCTTGATACAATTTTGCTCAATACATTTGAACATATTCTTGTTGTCTCATGACGCAGAGCGTTAGTATACACCTTATTTGTACCCAATATCTTACAGGTAGACTGTCAAATCTCCGATACTATTATCAGAACATGTCAGCCTTTACGGGGCTACACAATATAGTTTCTAAGATTGAAAACTAGCTCTGTGACTTGCTGACATGTAAATATATAAAACTATATTTAAACAGTATCGTCAATTATTATGCTTGTTTGAGGCCATGTTTCGTCACAAGTGACAGTGGCAGTTGGGATGAGGGAGGGGATGAGAGAGGGTAGGGATGGAGGGTTAAATGGGCACCAGTTTAAACAGACAGGCATGCTGACGAATGTTTACATACATCCTAAAAAGTGGCCACGGAATTTGAGATGTGACAAATTTCAATATTCCAGGGGAAGTGTCTGTGTGCCACCGATTTTTAACTCAACTTCATAATCTGTCAGGACATCATATTTTAGACAAGAATAATAAAATACACGTACTTGTAATAGCGTAAACTTTGCGATTGACATATGTTTATATTTAGCAATTTTACGGATATAAAAAAGGGGTAATTGATTCTTTTAAACTTTAATTTATCATTAAAGAACGCAAGAAATTAACACTATTTTCAAGTGACATTGCCTTTTATGCATATTTGTTTAACGCCGAAGAATAAACAGTTTCGATTATCTGCCGCAGCAGATTGCATAATGCGTAAAAGGCGCAATAGTGATGAAATTTTTATGAATTGATCAGCGACAAGCATATTGATGACACCAGTATTTCGTGAAAAGGGTAAGCATGTCCTGCTCAACCGGTAGCACCCGCCACTCAAACACGTCAGCATACGTTTGTGTAAATTGCATATTTATGTATTGGTTTTAATAGGATAGTGTTAAACAACGCAATTATCACGATGTGGATAAATGTCACTAGTAAAAAGAAGCTTACACTCCATCGGGCCGCGTAAGGGGAGTATTAATCTTCTCTGTAAACTGTAATCAATTTCACGTGCATTTCCTGTCAATCAAATGTCAAACAAGCGTGTCAAGAAATTCATGCCAGAAAAGTTATCTTCATCTTAAATATAAATCGGGTTTATGCTGTTTTCATGACAGGTGATGTAACCCTTCTCAAAAACAAGATACAAGAATTTGATAATCGATCTTTTGACCATTTCCCTGTGTCTTGACGCGGCGTCGGATTAAAGAGGGGCCGGTTGCTCGGGAAACTCCGGAATTTCCCGATGTCGCTTCGGGGATCAGTCATTTAGCTCAATAATTTTTCCACTCCGCAACAGATTGCAAAGTTAGATTAACAATATCTTAATTCGTGAGAGCTGGCGCTTGAGAGAAAACCTTGCGCTGTGTTAATGTCGCAAGCTTTACAGCATTAAGCAAGTGAAGGAAATCGAGACTTGTATTTGCAGATCGATTAACCAAATGTTTTCCTTTTTGACTCGTGTTTTGAGACAATCTGTCAAGATCTAAGTTTATACAGCCTTGAAATCAACATGAAATGTACACGTTTCTTAAATATTTTGATAATTTTGCTAGAATGTTGCTCCCTCTAAATCGGTTTGTCAGAAATGTCAGGAGAATAAAAATCCGGATAGGATTCAGACATATTTCAACCATTGTAATTCCAATTGATCTAATTGTGTCTTTATATTCACCGGGCGTTTAACAGCATCTAAAAGCATGATGGAGCGCCTAAGAATCTTCTAAAACAGTCACAAACAAACTGCAGCGAAGTTAAACTAGCCTGAAGATCGGACCTGCGACGGCTAAAAAATCAATAAGCCGTATTGTTTCATCAAATGTCGCGATTTTCGGTAGGTTTGGATGTTATTCAACGTATAATTTTGGCATGTAATCAACTAATAAGATGGTTGTGCCTAAGGGACGGTTGGGCATCAGGTAGACTAGTTCAACATCTCTGAGTTGGTTTCTAACAAACACGACACAAAACAAACTATTACATAACTGTGTGCCACAAATGCCGTGCAAACATCGAGCAGCGCGGAGACCAAGAGGAAACGTTACATTAAAAGAGAAGAAAAATTACTTATATTGAAATAGAACAACTATTACTTATATAAAAAAGAGGAAAAATCATTGATTTACTTAAAAGAGTAGGACAATTGATCATATTAAAAGATACAATTGATTATATTTAAAGAGAAAAATTGATTATATTTGTAACAATTACATTTTTTTCGTTTCTTCACATTTGATTCGAAACCCAGTTTTGTCATTCTTGATCAACTTTATGCACTCTGATAGATTTTATGTCTTGCGTTAAGTATGAATGACATATGTTTATGATTAATTCACATATACTTATTGAATTTGTTTAATGTTCTGTGCAACTGGTGGATTCATGTATATTGTTTAAATGACATGGAGATTGAATTTAATGTAAATGGGAAATATAGACATTTAATACAATTTGACAGATATTATATTTAATACGTCTGCGTGTTCATGGTCACAAGCAATAGTTCCGGTTACATCCTATAAGTGCATGGATTTCAAAGCTTAAATCAATGGTTTGAACGACATTTGATATTTTTGTAACAAATCGGTTTTTGTAGCAATGACGAATTGACATGGCAGTGTATTCTATGGATGCAAATAATAACGCTGAACTGAGAAGCGTTTGTCGAACGAAGGTGATATGTACAACAATTCAAGTCAGCCCTTGTCATCCCTTCGATTTGGCGGGTATCAGTTTCCGAGACGAACAGCTGTTGAATTCACCAAGGACGCGGTTGATACTAGAAGGTGCAAAGTTAAATTTTTATTGATAAACGTTTAATAAAATCCAAGAAACGTGAACCTGTTTCCTGAGAACCGACAGTAGAGGAGATAAAATGAACTCGTGAAAATGACAACAAACGACAACATATTTTTCACTGGGCCGGGTAACACATTTCAGGGTTAGACCGCCAGTCAGGGTCGATATTTAATACAGCTCTTGCCGAAACACATTGGTACTGAACCACATGGTTCAATCATGCATTTCACGCGATTTCATTCTGTACCTTCAATAAATATCAACAACCATACAACGATAAGCCGGACAAGGCGCACTGGGGAATATAGCATTTACGATTTGTGGAAATAGCGCGGCTTGAGAGTGTGACGTTAAGCGTGATTGACAGCTAAGCCGCGCGCTGAGAGGAAAGCTCGCTGGATGGGCGTGGCTTAGACGCTAGCCCCGGCACAGGCATAAATACAATTGTATTTATCTTAGTGTGGAATCCCCCTTGCCTCACTCGTGTTGAGGACGTTTTGCTTATGATTGCGATGGAGTCACCGAGCCAGGTCTTACCCCATCAAATGACCACCCAGCCGAGCCCTACCCCCGGGCTTACTCCCAGCGGACACAACCCCCTGAATTTGATGAGCAAGCTACAGAAACCGGGGACATACAGTTCTCCCCCTCCAGTCGCCTGCCACCCCGAAAACAATGTGTGTAAATTGATCGAATACCGAGGGGCAAAAGTTGCAGCATTTATGGTAGACGGCCGTGAGTTGATATGTCTACCCCAGGCTTTTGAACTTTTCCTCAAACACCTCGTCGGAGGACTCCACACAGTGTACACCAAACTCAAACGCCTGGACATTACCCCCGTAGTGTGCAATGTGGAGCAGGTTCGAATCCTACGAGGACTTGGGGCGATTCAACCAGGTGTTAACCGATGCAAACTTATCTCGTGCAAGGAGTTTGATATTTTATATGACGACTGTACGAATTCAAGGTAAGTGTGTGTGTGTGGATGTATTGCTGTAGTGTCGTCATAACCCCCATCTCTGTGTTGGCCTGCTTCGCTATAATCTATTTGTTTTGATTGACAGAGTCATTCTGTTATTTCGCTGCGTAGTACCACGCCGTCAAGCGGTATATGAGTTTAAACTGTGAAATAGACATGTGTTCATTTCAAACTGCTATTTACATGCATAAATGAGTATGTAAACAGGATCATAACACGTCTCCTCGCGAAACAAAAAAACGTTCGTGTTTGATTTATTATTCATAAACAAAGCATCACATGATTTTTTTTTGAAAAAATGTATCAATATAAATCAAAGTTGAATGAAATAAACACCGTCTTTGATGGGTGTTGACATATGCTTGACACAATACGACAGCGACGAAAGCTATGTCAAGAGCTCAGTAATATATTGTCCAATTAGTGAAATTTGCTCTGATGTAATTGTATCAGGAAATGTTACATAATAATAACCAGTCGTCAAGATAGACGTACTAATTGCCATATCTAAAGCTACGATGTGTACCAACAAACACGTCCTCGAGTACATTTCACGGCTAATCAGACAATTAATTCGACTTAAGACGAATGGTATTTGTTTATACCGCGTCGAGATAAGATTGCCATGTCAAATATGATAAAAATGCAACAGGGATTTGTTTGTTGATGAATTACTTTTATCTAAGATAGTATCCAGATATGAACATCGCTGGAACGCCCGGGTCGTTATTTGCAATATACACAAATCACTCTGCAAGCTACACACAGGATGATGTAATGTACATGAAAAGCGAACGGTAATTAATAAATAATTATTTCCCGCATTTCCGTTCAATGAATGATACAAATGACAATTGATCAGAACAGGAAAATACATATTTTCTGTGTAAGCTATATTTGTATATCTCTGATTCATACAGAAGTTGAATAATTAGCATATTTGTCACGCTATTATGACGTGTGAAATAAACAACTGTTCCTTTGTTCTGTTATCAATGAACATCAATGAATAACTCCAATGCAAACCTGTCATGACCATCAGTCTCTATCTATGGTTAGAGTGATGTAACACTGTAATAATACAAGTACATCCCCATCCTCATCTCCTTTGTTAAGTTATCAGCAATGCGTTAATCGTTACTGATTATGTATTGTATAATCGTTGGGAGGTATTGACCAAAAGGACAAGCAATATTGATTATTGGCATGTCTCACGATCAGCATCAACACGACATAAGTGTCATGCTGACAGTTAGCCACATACAAAGTACACAGTTTATATAAGTATTAGGCACAAGAATATTTTTTTTTAATAGCTTGTCTTTGTCAAAACTCTTTTCATCAGCATTCCACACAGAATACTGTATCACATTTCAACATCCTACAATGCTTAATTGTCATGACAATTCATGTCACATTCAATGGCATGACAGTGACTGGTTAAATTATGTGCATAATTTACATTAACAGATAGCAAATACATAAATCTAAAACACACATGGACATATCAACGTTATACAATTGAAGTATTAATTACAGTTAGTGTTATAAATATGTAAATGTGCGTCCATTCTAGAACATATCATATATCTCTATATCAACGTTTGCAACTGATATTTAACAATTACATCCAGTCTGTTTGATAGGTATTCTAAAAAGCATTTGTCTGTATTCATGAGGGATTGAAAACTTACATAGCTAATCCCAATCAGTAAGAACACATCTCACGCGTGTGATTTGGTCACATGCATCGTGAACTCCTCTAGGACGTGCTAGTCAGTGTAGATTTAAATGTAGCCCCCTTGTAAAGAAGGCCATTCTCTCTGTTTAATGTCCATGGTTGTTCATCTCTGGAGATGTGCGTTTCTTTCCTGCCGGATCAGCAAGTTTTCCTACACGTGGACAAAGGTGTACATTTCATACAATATGTATACATAGATAAAACTTTTTGTTTTTTATTCGCAATGTAAATTCCATTATAACATTGACATAACGAAACCCTGTAAACATTATAACAATTCCATCAATTTAAATGTAGATGGTAAACTGTTCACTTCATACAACATATTTGCAAGTATGAGTGGCATTCGTTGACATCAGTGAAATACTTCCTAAGTATATTTGAACTTGATATTGCGCGCAATTTTCATACAAACCTAATCAATATATATGTTTGTTCTTGACGCTGAATCTGGAATTATGAATATAAGTTTGAGTTGATGTTCATATCACTATGAGGGCTGTATGTTTACATATGTCCATTTCAAATTGGAAGCAACACCTGATATTAAAACAAAGCATTATGCGTATTCAGATTACATAACACATTGACTCATTCATGATTATGAAATGATATTTAACTGCATCTTATTGTAATATCAAAACAACAAGAAGCATTAGATCCCTAATTTGAACGTCCATGTTTACGTTTGAATGCGATTCACACATCCGGGAAATATTGATTCGTATGAAATACCTTTCTGTTTCCATGTATTGATTTTATACATGTATTATCCATTAGGGAAATTATGACAAGCTGTTGTGAGACTGTTTTATAAGTAATTGTATTCTTGATTTAATGATTTCATATCTGACCCTCCATACTTTGCATGTTTCGGACAAGGTCAAATTCAGACAAAGAACATGCCTCAAACGTGTTGCTAATAGCTGAAACATCGTTGATTGCAGTAAACATATTAAATCAGAAACAGCTCAATTATTTTGAATTATATTCTGGTGACATTCACAGATGTATTGTCTGTTGATGAAGAAAGGTTTTTATACAAACAATTGTAAAAATATTTAACTCCCTTCTGTAACTTACTGGTCCTTACTCCCTGACTTTATGAATATAAAGATGCACTATCGGCAGTTACATTGTTTCGTAAGTATGAGTAAGTAATGGGAGTGTTGACCCAAAATTGTGGAATAATTTCAGTATATATACGATTGATGGACGATACTGTGTGATCTCATATATCCGACGTGATTATTTCGTTTCGTTTCTTTTATGAATAATCAATACAGTTACAAAAATATATACAGATATTCGTAGAAACGATTCATTTTTGGACAGATTACATGCAAATTATTGAATCGAACCTTCGGATTTAGTGAGAGTTTAGTTTTTCTGGTGTACCTTTAGTCCATTATGGGACTATACAATTCTTTGTAACATCATATCATGAGCTGTGTCGTTTTGTTTGACATTTGTTTGTAATGTAGAGTTACTTTCTTCGAATCTGTCTCCTCTTCTTTCCCCCTTCTCCCTGTCAGACACACAAAGTAACGCACCCTGCAGCATCATATTGTTCTCCGCAACAGGTATATACCAATTGCTACTCCAAAATAAATACATACCGATTGATTCTGCAAAATAAATACAAATCGACTAACTTATCAGTCGAACAATCCATTGTTCTGTATCACAAACTCTCTCTGTCTCTCTCTGTCACTCTCTCTCTCTCCATCCTCATCTCTCTCTCTCTCTCTCTCTCTCTCTCTCTCTCTCTCTCTCTCTCTCTCCATCAATCAACTAAATAGCACCCCTCGCAGATGGTTTACGATCGGTCACTCACTATCAGCATTGCAAAAAGATAGCCATCCCAAAAGTCCTTTAATTCAACAAGCATCTTGACAACCTCGGTCGTACTTCTAGCAAAGAGACAACCTTTATCGTCTTCACCCACATAATTAGATCACAAGCCTAGTATTAATACATTCTGTAAAATTCCCTTTGAAGAATATTTCATTGCCAACAGAATTTTATTGCAATGAGGGGGGTTTACAAGCAGTATTAGTTTTAATTCTGCATTCTGAGAAAGGGCTTGGAGAGAAACCGATGATTTGGATAACAGAAATAGTTTCATTTTAAGGAACAAGGTTGCTACATTTCAATTTCATTCTTTTATAATTTTCATAAATCAATTAAGTCATTGCGCACTGTCATTTTCCGCGCGATCGAAGTTGTCTCTGCGCTCGGCCATGTGTGACTTAAAATAGAATGGGGCAGTTATTAATTTTTCAAATAATGTATTAAAATCGTAAACTATTTAATGAGCAACACACTCCACAAACACTACTTATAGCTTTAGGAAAACACGGCGACCATGGTTATGATCTCTGGTCTTTATATTGGGTCTAAACGTCCATACTATCAATGGCTAGCTCTCTATGCGGAATCACTAGCAGTCATGTACGTATTGTTTGGCGTACAATACAGCTCTGAACAGGGCGGATTCAACACATGTTAGTGTTAAAGAAATTCATCCATGCCTTCGCGCTTGAATACATGTTTGGAGATTATGAATTATTTATTTATTGGTTTTATATAACTTGTGTATCACTTACATTTGAATTATTTAACGATCCTTTTAAAATTTCTGTTCATTTTAATAAAAAGTCCTTTGACGGAGAAAAACATTTTTTTAATTTGGATAATTAATTAAAAATAATGTGATTCTATTTTTTTGCGATTAATGCGAGATAACGTGACTGGATTTGCAACACGTCGAGCATAACTGGCGTTATTTGAGGAGAAGGTATGGGGGAGAGGATTTTAAGTAATCTTTTGTATCTATATGCTATTGACTAAGACTTTATGAATAAATGATGTGATCTTGACGCGTCCTTTGATCAAACAAAAGCTTGTCGATAGATCCCTTGAAATAGAAACCCGTCAAGTGCAACTCAGATCACCTGGCCTTAACACGCTGTTGCACTGATGTTGCTCTCTCCCCCATCATGTCAAAAAAGGTTAAAAGAATAAAAACAAATCCAGCTCTTCCTCTCTCCCCCATCATGTCAAAAAAGGTTAAAAGGATAAAAACAAATCCAGCTCTTAATCTTCACAATCTAAGAGTTCACAAATGTCTGAAAAATAACGTATATATAATCTGTAAATATGTATTTACATATATCTGAACAGGAACACCGGATAGGTAACACAATAAAATAACCATATAATCATTACTCACAAGGTATACGCA